CCACGCCGGGTGACACTTGGCACCGTGAGCGCCGGGTGACACCGGCACCGCGCTGGGTGACACCGACGCCGCGCCAGGTGACACCGACGCCGCGCTGGGTGACGCCGGCACCGCCCTGGGTGACACCAACACCACGCCAGGTGACACCGGCACCGTGCCGGGTGACACCGGCACCGCGCCGGGTGACGCCAACCGTACCAGTTTGTAGGCGGTCTCGTATCCGTCGGGGTTCATGGAGGGCAGCAGGTGGATGCGCGTGTCCGTCACCAGCTGCACCACGCGGGGGTTGCCCAGCCGGAATTCCCGGCACAGGAATTCCATCAGGTTCAGCAGGAGCTCCCGGCCCAGAACCTCGTTGCCGTGCATCCCGGCCACGTAGCGGAATTCCGGTTCTCCTGTCGGGTGTGGAGATGTGGCTGGAGGGGTTTTGGTGGCTGTCGCTGTCCTCATGGCAGCTGTCTGGGTGTTCCTGTGTCCCTGTCACCATCCTGGGTGTCCCTGTCCCCATCCTGCACCAGTCTGGGCGTCCCTGTCCCATCCTGGGTGTCCCTGCGTCCCTGTCCCCACCCCGGGTGTCCCTGTCCCATCCCGGGTGTCCCTGTCCCACCCTGGCTGTCCCTGTCCCGCTCAGTTTGGGTGTCCCCGTGTCCCCAACTCCATCCTGGGCATCCCCAGCCGCTCTGTCCCCATCCCGTGCCAGGCTGGGTGGCTCAGACACCCCCCCCGAGCCAGCCAGGGCATCCTTGGTGACTGTCCCCAGCCCCAGTGACTGTCCCCAGCCCCAGTGACTGTCCCCAGCCCTCTGCACCAGCCTGGCTGTCCCTGGTGACCCCTGGCCATCCCCACTCCCCTCCTCCCAACCCGGCCATCCCTGGACACTGTCCCCACGCCACGCTGTCCCACCCCGGCTGTCCCCGGCTGTCCCACCCCGGCTGTCCCCAGCTGTCCCCGGCTGCCCCCGGCTGTCCCCAGCTGTCCCCAGCTGTCCCCTCCGCCACCCACCGAGCTCGTGCTGCCCGGGGTTGTCCGAGATCTCCATGACGAGCAGGCGCAGCCCGCGGGAGCTCTGCCCGATGCTGTACACGCGGGTGATGTCGGGGCACTCCTCGCTCACCCTCCTCATCAGCTGCGGGTGGCGACAGCGTCAGGGACACCTTGGGGACACCCTGAGGTGGCACAGCCCCCTCCCCCGCCTCGCAGGGACACGGAGGTGGCACCTTTTTCATCTCCTTGTAGTTGTGGTGGCGGAAATCCAGCTGAGCTTCGGGCGGGGGCTGCGAGGAGCGGGCATCGCTGGGGTCTGCGGGGACACGGGGGGACATCGAGGGGACAGCGAGGGGACACGGGGGAACACCGGGGGGACATCGAGGGGACACGGGGGGACATCGAGGGGACATCGAGGAGACACCGAGGGACACGGGGGGACAACACGGTCAGGGACAGTGAACGGCCCAGCCTGTCACACCGGCCACAGCAGGAGCTGCTGGGGCAGCCCGGGGGACACCCAGAGGGTCCCCAGGGGCAGGGGACAGCTGGGGACACCCAGAGGGTCCCCACGGGACAGCTGGGGACACCCAGAGGGTCCCCACGGGACAGCCGGGGACACCCAGAGGGTCCCCAGGGGCAGGGGACAGCTGGGGACAGCCGCAGGGGACACCCACCGGGCACGGGACAGCCCAGAACCTCGGCCCGCAGGCAGATGGTGCCGTTGGGGAACCAGCTCTGGGGGTTGATGCGCAGGAATCGGCCCACGAGGGGAGACGGCAGCAGGTTCAGCACCGGCGTCTCGGGGTCTTTGTTCCCGGGAAACACCTGCGGGGGACACCGGGGTCAGGGGGGACACGGGGGACACCGGGGGGGACACCGGGGGTCAGGGGGTCCGGTCCCCTCCAGCCCTTAGGGAGGAGCAGCAGGGCCGGGGGTGGAGCTCAGGTGGGCAGAGGGAGCCCCAAATCTGTTCCTGGCATGGGTCAGGCAGCGGGACCCCAAAATCCTCCCCGGGACGGAGATCCCCAAACCTGATCCTGATACAGCCCTGACACGGGGACCCCCAAATCCATCACTGGTAGGAGGACCCCAAATCTGTCCCAGCACGGCGCTGACACAGGCACCCCAAATCTGCCCATGGGACAGGAACCCCCAAATCCACCCTCAGCACAGGGACCCCAAACCCACTGATCACAGAGACCCCAAATCCGCTGAGCACAGAGACCCCAAACCCGCTGAGCACAGAGACCCCAAACCCACTGAGCACAGAGACCCCAAACCCACTGATCACAGAGACCCCAAACCCACTGATCACAGAGACCCCAAACCCACTGAGCACAGAGACCCCAAACCCACTGAGCACAGAGACCCCAAACCCACTGACCACAGAGACCCCAAACCTGTCACAGCCCTGGCACAGGGACCCCAAATCCACTGAGCACAGAGACCCCAAACCTGTCACAGCCCTGGCACAGGGACCCCCATCCCCATCTTTGGCACCGGGACCCCCAAACCCAGCCTCAGCACAGAGACCCCAAACCCACTGATCACAGGGACCCCAAACCCAGCCCTGGCACAGGGACCCCAAACCCAGCCCTGGCACAGGGACCCCCCAAAGTCCCCGGTGCCCCGCGTGTCCCCCCGTGCCAGGGGGGCTGGCAGGTGCCCAGGGTGGCACGAGCCCCCTTTGTGCCGGGAGGAAGCGCTGCGGGCACCCGGAGCAGCCGGGCCGGGAGCAGCGGGGCCTGGGCACGGTACCGGTGGAGCCCGGGCACGGTACCGACAGGAATGGGCACGGTACCGGTGGAGCCCGGACACGGTACCGGCTGG